AAAAAAACACAACTACATCAACAATAACATTAGTAATCACTATTGTAACAATCCATGTTGTCATCAGGCACTTGTCACTCAACAAATTACTTGTAACATGCGACTTCCAAGATCTGAATGGGTAAAAACTCAATTTCTCCAGCATTTTAAAAAAGTCATTACTTTTTTTACAAGTAGTGATGAGTAATAGCTTAAAAAATACATTTGAACAGACCTTCCGATAAGGCTCAGCTCTCTTGAATTGGATGAATGAGACATTCCACTTTAATATTTTTAGGGAGTGACTCTTACTCTCCCTGTAAATGATGGCTTTTCCCCCCCAAATGCTATTTGAACCACTGAAGTAGGTCACATTCAGCATGGCATATTGCATTGCTTATCTCCTTATTCATTTTCATTCACTCTATTATGCTTGTTTCAATACTCTACTTATATGGATGCTCCCCCATTGATCCCCTTTTCTTGCTTAAGGCTACACTCACGCCTGACACCTTTTTCCTGTGGGTTTGACCAATTCAACTTCTCCTCAGCCCTGCAAACAAGCTCACTGGTAAATCTGGGACCCTGATTTCCAATTGTATACACACCTGACAATTTATGGACAAAATGAGAAAGGATCAATAGACCCTCAACATTTTGAATCATCAATCCAGAATGTTTTGGTCTGGTTTACGCAACAAATTGCAATCCAGCCATCCTGTCCAGAAGGCTCTAAATAACTGTCACAGCAGCTGATCAGACCTAATAACTACAGGAAAATTCAGAGACTCCTCTTTCAGGGCATGTCTACATGGCCCATTTATATTAGTTACCCCTGATGTAAGGCCTTATTCAAGTGTGGACAGTCTTTGTGTGGGAAAATGTCTCAAACACAGTCCAGGCAACTAGCCCAAGGCTGATTGATACATAGGTCTACTGTCTACTGACCAAGCCCAGCCATAGAGTAGCTTACAGTTCAGCAGTTACTTTATTTTAGTAAATATAAGCCTTAAGTCCAAAACAGAGTTCAGCAATGTCCAAGGCAGGTCAATGGCATCCAGAATCAAGAGTCACAGTCCAGATCAAGCAGAGGAACACAACAAGGAACCAGATAGATCAGATAATCTCCAGCAATCTCTGGAGGGTAGGACTGCAAATTTATAGGTCAGCTGGTGCTATTGCAACATAGCTGCTGCTTAATGAATTACTGCTTCCTATAAATCCTCTGAGACCCCCTTGAGCTCTCTCTTTGGGTTGTATCTGCTCAGCAAAGGTAGGTAATGGTAAATGGTCTTCTGGATCTGGAGGAATATTCTCCCCAAAACACTTCATAAAATACAAATACTTTATTAAGGGAGTGCAGCACAGAAATTTCAGTTTTTATCCCACAGAAGGGAGAAAATGAGGAAAAAAATATCCATCCTTGTATGAGAGGATAAAACAGGTGAAGATTTACATCCCTATCACACAGTGTATAGCTTCCTAATTTATTCTCTTCTAGTTTGTTTTGTTTGCTAGGACTTAAAACTCAACCTAGAGTTCCTTGTGATACATTCAAAAAGCTGCATATTCTTTCCTTCTGCTATTGCAAGACCAGAAGCTAGCACATCCCTGAGCATTTACCATGAAATAATTCCTATTTCTTGCTTTGCATCTATCCCCCAACATTTTGTTAACCTGCAGGACATCTGTTTCGATGATGAGGTCTGGCATAGAACAAGGGGCATGATGTCAATTGTTGGAAGAGAGCTGAGTCATCAGAATGAGTGGCTCAATTTATTATGGATGAGTTCAGTCTTCCTGGATCATTTTATTTAATGATGTGTGTGTCTTACTGCACCATTCTTGAATATATATACTTGAGAAAAGAATACATTGATTTAAGTCAAATGAGTCTGGTTTTCTAGTAGGGGGATACTTTGTTTATTTGAATTCCAGTTTAAGTAGCTTATTCAGTTTAGGTGAAAGGGCAGGGAAGTATGGCTA